CAGTAAAGAATTGTTTATGTATTTCCTTCCTGTATTCGGACGGAAGAAATGTGAAAATTGTCTTAACTTTAAAATAAAACGTTTAATTATATTTTATTCAAACAACTTTGATGAAAGACATTAACTTGGAAGTCTGAGTGCGAATGAGGAAGAAAAAAAAAGAAAACTTTAAAAACACTTACAATATTAGTGTGATGAATTGTATTTGATCTATACAATGCAACATTTCGAAATCTATTTCAGACATCACCGAATTTATCCGTTACTGTATCTGCAGCGGATCTTCTCATCAAACACGGGTAAGAACGTGATTTTAAAAAAAAAAACATTTTTGGAGGGTAATGTTTTTTTAGTTGTCTGGCTCTAGGATCGCATACCAAAAGATTATCACCCAATGACTCAAAGAGACCTATAAATATTTAAATATTTAAATATAACAGGAGCACATTCTAGAAAGCCTGTTCAGTAGGATAAAAATGTTCTATTAAGACATCCGACAGTGACGAAAAAAATATGTAGTCCAATCCAGGTACTCTGATAATTTCTCATATTTATTATAGTACTGGCACATCTTTACTGTACGTTTCTATTGTAAAGTGCGTGTGTGTGCTTTTTTTTTTTTTTTTTTTTTCTTAACGTCTAATTGAATTTCTGGAACATGTAACGAACTCGGGCCCATCTGCACACTTATGAGTGACGAAGTCGAACCAGGACACTGTGATTGGACGTTCATTTGTGTGTCTTAACCTTTGAGACGCGCAAGTTTAATTGGCAGGGGTATGAGCTTGACGCACCAGGTTGTATTCTGTCGACGGTCTTAACAGTAACCATGCGAGCTCTACATTACAGGATGTGAGCACTCTTGATGACAACATAACATGTACAACTGGCCCCCAACTCCAACCCCCAGTCCACACTGAACCTAGGTCCCACGATAGAGTGCATTCTACGTTTCGTGGTTTCAGATTTCTTAACATTTTGCTGTGGTCCTGAAACGCTATGTTGCTGCAGACACGCAACCGTACCCTCGTCGTCGCCTGTCAAAGCTGACAGCTGAATAAACTCATTTCTTACTAAAAATCCTAGACGACTGTCATATACCCACCAATAAACACTAATTCTGCTTACGAGTGAGAACGCAATGTGGGCGGCGCTGTTCACAAAAGAACAATTAACGTGCAACGCAGAAAGCTTTGGGATCAGGCAGACACTGCCATTGCCCTTAGAGAGATAGGACGTTCTGAGGATTTTGGAAGCAATGTGTCCACATCACTGCGAAGAATACGATAACTTGGAGTTAAGATCGCACAGCCAAGCATAAGAAGCACACGAAGTCTTGTTAACCAACATAGAACTGGCACTATTACCCGACGCGATGCTGATGAATATGTTGAGAGGGGAATCTGAGCGCCTATTGATGTGTCCGGAGTGCTGTGAAGATAATCTAATTCATATCTCCTAACCCCTCTAACTTTGAGCAACGTTGACCAGCCTGACCAAGCATCAGGGAAAGGTCAGCTAGTGTGTAGATAGGCCCGAGCTCGTTACTAGTAATGAATTTCCAAACGCAGGTTGAAAGTTCGGGGTCATTGTATGTTCTGGGCAGTCAAAGGTCACGAACCTGACTGGGTGTCCCCTCTAACTGGCCAGGCGATGAAGGACGCCATTCAAGGTCATATACAGAATATGACGGACACAGCAAAAGGGAGGTAAGTTGTTTCCATAAATCAGTGCGTACCTAATTTATGTGTTTGTTTGGTAACTAATGTCGCATTTATCATTGTTTCGTTTTCATGATATACGTTATGAACACTGGCAAGTTCTTTTACTGATAACTAAAGCTGCAGTTTGTCATCATCATCATGGAGACCTTGGTAAAACAACCAGTGTCGACGTGCGCCAAATAAAATTGTATTTGAATTTATATGCAGTTGTGAAGCTGCTTATGTGGGCAGAACTGATCGACGCCTGGATAAACGAGTCGCTGAGCACGTTTCAGTATGGGTGGGGGAAGTCATGCCAAATTATGTTCAAAATGAGAATACCGGCCTTTTAGATCATCCCTCCTCAATAGTACACCATCTTATAAAATCTGGACACACCATATTCAAGAACAACTCATTTCAAATCCTGCACACATCAGCCAATGGCAGGAAACTAAGATATCTTGAAACTGCCGCGAGTCGTTACCACACCATGAATTCTGTTTACAGAGGGATATGGTTCTGACATTAAGGCTGCCCTGGTAAAACAGGCAATTATGTTTGATCTTCGTTTAATTTGTTCTTCAGTTTTAAAGCAGATTTACTTATCTCCTTCATTTATGTAATTGTTACTGTAACATGCACCTAAAGTGATACAGTGAAATATGACAGGCAATAAATTCTGCAGTCTGTGTCTTCTTTCTTCAAATTACATAGAATGTCAAAGCAGCTTGAGCATTGGGTATGTGGCACTAATATTACAAAATACACTTGTGACACTGTATATATATATATATATATATATATATATATATATATATATATATATATATATATATATATATATATATATATACACACACACACACACACACATAATTTGTCTACTCGTTACTCTAGCTTTACTTTTGCTTTGGTATAACTTCCAGAGCTGTGCTAAGATGTGACATATGACATTGAAACAACAGAGATTTAATGTGTGCTTGAGACGCTTGAGACAAAAAAAATAAGAACAGACAACGTTAGAAGCACACACCACAATTAGGAACCCGGTTCAAAATAGAAACAGAAGGCAACCCTATAACACACTATGATCATAACGTGACGTCTGCGGTGTAGATTTAACAGTGATCACGCCTGGTCAATTTAGTGAGAAAATCCGTTTTTAAGCTGGTACGAGTCTTTTGTTTTAAACACAGAATTTCTCACTGGGTGGTCAACAACGAGCGCCTCCATGGCAGTTTCTACGAGGACAGCACGGGAGATGCCACCATCTCCCAGCACATGTTCCAGGCTGCCCGGTCCGCTGACCCAACCGCTGACCTCTTCCTCAACGATTATGATGTGGTAGCTGGAGGTGGACACACGGCGGTAACGACCAGTTTAACCGTACCTGTCAATTATTCATGTTTGGTTTCTTTTCTAAGGAGCATGTTCGTTTCAACCGATACTAAATGTTAGTTGCGTATCCTTTACAGGACATTGCAGAACCAACCCCATCATTTTGTGGTTTTTCTTGGCAAATGTACATCCAGTAATTTGTCATTGCCTCTAGACGGTCGGCTTCTCGATACCAACGCAAGAGCTGGAATCGAACCAGATACCCCTGCATTAGGAAACGCGTTAGCAACACTGACCAACCGATATTATATTTTATAAATATATAGTTGTTGTTAACGTGGTATGGGGCAGCGAAGGTCGATCCAGCCAAAAATGGTTACCAGGATGTATGTCCTGGGGAAATAAAGACGACTGGCGTAATTCATTACCCATCTAGTGCCGATTGGTCTGTAAAATATGGGTGCTCTTCCCATTTGCCTGATGCTCCTAAAGGCGTAAAAAGGGGTTTTCACTTACTAAATAGTGGTTGTGGGTATTTTTTTTAATTTTGAAAAATTGCTGAAATAATTTGAATAAAATCGTAACAACCGAGATGAGATGTCTTACAATAGCTGCCAGGATAACAAGAAGCGATACAATTAAAACTGCTAAAGATGGGGACTGAGTGCTTATGGGGGTGTCACGAGTGCTATGATGTCGATTCTTAATTCAACATTCAAAACTAAGTGATCAGAAGAGTATTGGTATTGAAAACAGTCATACAACTCATTAGAGACACATATGATATGGTTTGACCAACTGATGAAAATGCAAGGGTACTAAACCACCAGGACATAACACAGAGTGATTTATAAACACCCGGTGACACAACGTGCCACCATGCGGATGAGGATCACTCTAGGAGAGGTCCCGGAAACAGCGTTTATCCGTTAGGTTATATTGCGGCTCCTGGCAACAACGAGGGAGGAGCTTAAAAATAACAAACAATTTCATTCCACAAGGGGATGACGGAGATTGAAGTTTATTTCTATATCCAGCTACCAGCGGATTTAATTCTACCAGATTCACAAAAGCAGCCTGTGTTTTCGTCATAGAAGTCCCATCCACTATCAGATGGTGTCGGGGTGTGTGCTCACTGGAAGGAGAAAAGGCTAGAGGTCTATCAGGTTTATTCGTAATGTTTTGACATAAATGCAATCCACAATCCACACTTTGAAACTAACAAGCTCTACGTGAGTCGGAAACAGATGTCGAAACAAATAGCTCCCTTCCCCCTCGTCGTCCAGTATTCATGTGCCAACTCAATCAAATCCTACTAGTCGTGTTCATAACTGCCCGCTTTTTACAGTTAGTATTTTACCAACTGGCTCACGACACCCTATCGACACAGCCCGATAAAGTGGTACGTACAGACAGTAGCCAGATATTTTTATAGTTTATTCTACCAACGGCCGAGATTTTAGCGTGCTGGATTCTTGTGCCCAAGACCCTGGAGCTCGATCCACGGTAAGCACTAGCTTTTTTTCCTTTGCTCTTTCAGCAATCGGTCTTCGAAACCACTGTCGAAATAAACGCGACTCGTTCTGCTGCCAGTTCGCCTACAACTGGTATCGAACCGACACTTTGTTATTACATAACGTGTTGGCAACGCCTACGACACAGACGCTGACGCAATAGCCAAGCGACCCTAAATAATCAGGTTCTTGAACCCCTCCCTGTCGTACTCAGACCTAAAAGCAGTAAATACATGCAGAAATGATAGTTTTCTACCGAATGAGGTCGCCACTATGACGGCGATCCTTCTTAGAGGCCTCTTACAAGATTTGTAGTCGGTTAGAATACTACTATAACGTTCTGGCTTCCCTCACGTACCCGATAACGTACCAGCTTCAATATATGATGTCAGTTGCCCCGGAAACTGGGAGTACAACATCTTGTAAAACAATATTAAGAAACTCTAAGGCTGCATAGGGAGTCTCCGTGGTGAAGCGGCTAGACGCTCGTCGCGGATCGGAAGGTCGTGGGTTCGCTCCCTGGCGGTACCGGACTTTTTTTCAAAAATGACCTCAGCTTCCAGGTCGAACCAGCCTTGAGTTTCGGCCGGTGTGATGCTGACCACATCACCCATCTTGTGCCGATTAGTGTTGTATCCAGAATCCATGAGTTGTTAACACTTAGGCTCGGTATTATGGATATCTAAACCTTTCGGCCATGATTCCTTTATAAATACCGTAAATCTGGGAGAAAATGTGGCTTTCCTGCCTACCTCTGGGACTGAACCCGGACCACAAGGAGTTCGTCACCCGGTCTCCGCACACTCCGGTTTAGCCAACTACGCTAGAGAGCCGGGCTGTGCCGATTAGGATATTAAATATTTAATATGCCCTTTACGCCTAAAGGAGTGGAAAAGGGTCCTTTACCACTTTTTTTTTTTTTTTTTTTTTTTTACTTTTAGAAGACTGCATAGAAAGGAAACACAGAGAACTAAAACAATTACTAATAAACTACTGTCATACATTAACTTGTGCCTGTGCAGAATAGAGGGAAATAAATGGTGCAGTAGAATAAATAATACTGAGCTGTGGGGTAGAATTAAACAAATTTCAGTGAATCAAGAGATGAAGAAAATACGCTGGCGTTGGATAGGGCACACGTAGAATAAATCTAAAAACAATATACTTAGAATGTGTTTGCACTGAAATCTACAGAAGTAGAGAAATGGAAGCAGGGAAAAAATGGAGGGCATTGAGTGAGCTGCCAGTGATAGAGATAGGACTATTTGGGGTGAGCTGGCTGCGAGCATATCATCTACTGGGGATAAAGGTTGGAAGAAGAAAATACCATCATATCCTGTTGTGTCAGCTGAGTTGAGTTGATGGGTTGAGTCCAGAATTAACATCTCAGCACTCAGGGCATTCCCACGCGTCTCCGTCCTTATCTTCAGCAGCCAGCGCAGAGTTCCAATACTGGTGGTAAAGGTCACAATCTGGGTATATATCCGTTTTGCCTTTCTTCTGAGTGTAGTGAGCCGGCTAGACCCTCTGGTTACACCCGTGTGCCTCATTCTCTCCAATCTATAATAATCTTTTCTGATGCGTGTTCCAAAAGGGCCTTGACCACATCTGCCTTGTCATGTATTAATTCACCACCCAGTTTTGCAGATCCAGCTAATCCGTCTGCCTGTTCATTACCCACTACGCCGACATTGCCTGGAGAAAAGATCCAAAGTATGCTCACTACCCGTGACCTTCCCAGTGAAGCTTGCCGCTCTGCTCGAAGTATCCCTGTCTTAACCTTTCTCAGCATTCTTTCGGAGTCTGTTACAATTACGACACGTGTATGCATCTTGTTCTTTAGCCACCGGAGAGCTTCAGTTACAGCTTACATACCTATTATCATGTTAGATGTTCTGGTGTCGTTTCCTAAACTGTCTTGCAATAACAAATTTTCCATTGGCTTTCGCTACGAACACCCAGGTACTTCTCATTCCTCTCAACACCGAACCAACTGCATAGATAATCAGATCTGTTGTGCCATTTTATATATATATATATTTACGGAAGGAAAACAGTCCAGCACCTTTGGCATCTCCCATCAATGTTCGTTTTAGGGTTTCCTTTGAACATCCTTGATTCCTCAATCTTAGTGCATGTTTAATGATATTTTGCTCGTATCTTCACAGGATGTTCCATGCAGGACCATTTTCTTTGTCTAATAAAAGTTGTTACTAGTGGTTGCCTGGATATTTATCTTATTTCTTCACCCCGCTTGATTTTCTCCTATTTCAACTATAAATATTGCACAATTAATAATCAGTGGAAATGCCTCCACAGCAATATCTGGAGCAAATTATGACATTCAAAAATGCCAACGTGGGATTAAAAGGTGCCGGTGTGGAGAGCCACTTTGACGACCTGGTGGAGCCTGATGTAACTTTAGTCAAGGTATTATGTGTTGGCTGTCGCCTGTATCTGTCAGTGATCACATCTGTTTTCTTTGTCTTTACAAACTGATTTGCATATTATTAAGTGTCTGCCCGTTTCTTCCGTGCACCTTTTCTTCCATTCAATGTTTTTCCTATCCATATTAATGTCTTCTATCCACATATAATGTCTCCCATTCATGCATCATTTCTTACATATGTACATCCTTTCATCTGCCAGTACAATTTTACCCCTTTTCATTGCATCTTTTCATCCATTCATTGCATCTTTTCATTCATTCATTGCATCCATTCTTTGCATCTTTTCATCCATTCATTGCTTTTCATCCATTCAGTGCATCTTTTCATCCATTCATTGCATCTTTTCATTCATTCATTGCATCCATTCGTGCATCTTTTCATCCATTCATTGCATCTTTTCATCCATTCATTGCATCTTGTCATCCACTCATTGCCTTTTTTCTTATCCACTCATTGCATCTTTTCATCCATTCATTGCATCTTTTCATCCCCTCATTGCATGTTTTCTTCAACTCATTGCATATTTTTATCCACTCATTGCATTTTTTCATCCACTCATTGCATTTTTTCATCCACTCATTGCATCTTTTCATCCACTCGTTGAATCTTTTCATCCACTCATTGCATCTTGTCATCCATTAATGCATCATTTAAACTATGAGCATGCATTTAATTATATATTTCTCATTATCATCATTATCCCGTAGCTGCCGTAGCACTACGTGTCGCTGGGTCATCAGTTTCTGTTGACTGTCTGATCAGCTCTCTCCACCTTTGGCGGTCAGTTGCGATGGATTTCATGGCTGCACGCCTAAGGCATGTCCAGTCAGTCAGGTTCTGTAACCAGGTCTTTCTTGGTCTGCCTCTTCTACTCTTTACCTTTACTGAACCCTGCAGTATTGTTTTTGAGAGATTGTTAAATCTTATTACATGTCCACGCCATTGCATTTTTAGCCTTTTCACTGTAGTTAAAAGAGGTTCATAGTTGCCAGTGTGCTGTATAGTTTTCTGACGAACCTCTTCGTTTGTAATATGGTTTCTGTATGATAAGCCAATAATTTTTCGGAAACATCGCATTTCTAATGCTTGTATCTTTCTTCCAAATGCATCTGTTAAGGTCCACATTTCACAACCATATGCGAATGTAATAATAGATAGTGCTCATATATATATATATAATTTTATTATTAACTTGTGTTTATCCCTAGTCTGTTTAATGTTATGTTTGTTGTCATAATTGTAAAAGTTATTTTATTATTAGCCTATTGTTGTTGTTAGTGACCTTTCTAAACCCAATATCTCAAGATAAATGGGCGCTGTTTGTTGCAGGCTCGTCTCGATCGACTTGGACAGGCAGGTGTTCCACTATGGATCTCTGAACTTAGTTTGTCCTCACATAACGAGAGTCTCAAAGCAGATTGGTAAGATATGCCAAATATAAATATGCCAAATATAACATCATACATTGTAAATAGAAAAGCTTAAACTATTTGATAACAAGGCGAGAAAATTATTATATTTTTAAAGGAGCATACAATTTAACCCCCCCACCCCCCCCCCCCCCCCCGCCCTAAATAATTATAGTTAAAATGCAACCAAAGCAGAAACAAACAGGCTTGATTTCCGACATGGTAACTATGGCTTCAATTCTTTTGTTGTCTAGTGTGTGCTTAGATCTTTCTACTTCTTACTATGACTGCTGATTTTTAAAAAAAAAGGTGACCATACTATTTTAATCTGAAAAGGGGACATCCCTCTGATATTTTAAGCTCAAAACGGGACATCCAAAGCAGCAGCCTCCCCCCCCCCCCCTTTTTCCCACCCCAACCACACACAAATTATTGAATTTATAATTTGTATTCCTTAACGTTATTATTACTTTTATTATTGTTGTTGTTACTACTACTACTACTACTACTACTACTACTACTACTACTACTACTACTACTACTACTACTACTACTACTATTACTACTACTACTACTACTACTACTACTACTACTACTATTACTGCTACACTTACTACTACTACTACTACTACTACTACTACTACTACTACTACTACTACTACTACTACTACTACTACTACTACTACTAATCGGTAAGGAAATAATATATCTTAACAACTTATTTCTAAATGTTTATAGAATTGACGGGACAACCGAGGCACCCCTAAAAAGGTGACTGTCCCTGTGGTGGAAACAAGACGTATGGTCACTCTATCACACAAAAATTTGTGTTTATTTATTATATATAACGATACGTTTATAACGAGCCCTGTGGTGAGGTTTTGCAAAGGCAAGTGGATCATATTACATGTCTTGGTGGGTTGAACATCATCATTATCAAAAAATAAAATTGAATTAAGGAAAGAAAGAAAGAAAGAAAGAAAGAAAGAAAGAAAGAAAGAAAGAAAGAAAGAAAGAAAGAGAAAAGAAAGAAAGAAAGAAAGAAAGAAAGAAAGAAAAGAAAGAAAGAAAGAAAGAAAGAAAGAAAGAAAGAAAGAAAGAAAGAAAAAGAAAGAAAGAAAGAAAGAAAGAAAGAAAGAAAGAAAGAAAGAAAGAAAGAAAGAAAGAAAGAAAGAAAGAAAGAAAGAAAGAAAGAAAGAAAGAAAGAAAGAAAGAAAGAAAGAAAGAAAGAAAGAAAAGAAAGAAAGAAAGAAAGAAAGAAAGAAAGAAAAGAAAGAAAGAAAGAAAGAAAGAAAGAAAGAAAGAAAGAAAGAAAGAAAGAAAGAAAGAAAGAAAGAAAGAAAGAAAGAAAGAAAGAAAGAAAGAAAGAAAGAAAGAAAGAAAGAAAGAAAGAAAGAAAGAAAGAAAGAAAGAAAGAAAGATTGTAGAAACGGACATGTAAGTTAGTCACTGGGCATATAACTGGGATTATCTAAATGCAGACATATGTTCTCATACAACCTACTGGATACGTAGTATACCATGTGTCTATCGGGTTTCATTGTATGCAGGTACGAGAAAGTTCTGCGCCTTTTCTTCAGTCATCATGCTGTAGAGGGTGTCATCTTCTGGGGTTTCTGGGACCACGACACGAATCCACTGGAAGCTCTACTTCATGGCAATTCCTACACGGTTAGCCCAACACTAACATGTTATCACATATTTATGTTTGTAAATACATAAACCGGGCTTAATTAACTATTTCAGGGTGGCATTGTTTCTGGGGTTTCGGCAGAATTTTGAGCTGTATTTTTTTGTACTGCAACAGGACAAAGTTAAAACCTTCCTGAAGAAAAGTATTGGCTAAAAGGGGATATATAATAAAGAGAAAGGAAAACATAATATATCTGAACTATTTAAGGATCAGTATTGCCACAACAAAATACAGATATTTTGAACATTAAGTTTTATACATTCGTTTTTACTTGAGCAGCAACACTTATATACATTTCTAAGAATTCACCTGCCTGCTGTATTCAGTTATGCATCAGCTAGTAAAAAAAAAGTGTTTCGGCAGAAGAAGTCGGAAGAATGTCATATGTACATTCACATTAAAAAATCACTACTGCTTGTATTTACTAATTTGTTAAAGTGGACGTAGGTAGAGGGTCGTAAGTCTGACAATTAAGGCCATATGTCTAGTGTTATCACTACGAACTGTTCAGTTTAAGATTTTCAGTTTGTAAACTCTGACACAGAGAAAAAAGAATATTGTCCATCCTCTTACTTCTTCTTCTTCTTTAGCATTCCGAGCCCTTGAGGTTCATTGCTGCAGATATCACCCGCCTGCATTCATCTCTCTGGTTGGCCTTCTATTTCCAGTAGGTGACACCAAGTGTTTGCAGGTCTGTCTGTATATTACTATACTAGAGTTCGGAAACCGGCTCAGCCGCGTGAGGTCCCAGTATTGTGACCGTTCAGTAGTTACAGTTCCTTATGTGTGTACTAATTTCAGAATTAGAAAACAGCCTAGGCATAAAACATTTATATCATGCATGAGTTTGATATTGATCCTTAACGGTGTTCCTAGGCTCATACCCTCATTAGGTGAGATATGCTAGGATTTTGTGTCACTTGTGGGTAGATCTGTTGACACTGAATGTTCTTAAGGTTTTATTGCCCAATCCGCATGTGCATAATAAGTATATCAAGGCAATCGGCGATTAGTGAAAATTTGCGTAGACTTGAAGGGGTACCAGGTCAAAGTTCTGGGAAGTAAAGGCAGCCATGATGGCGCGGATCAAATGACCCACTGAGTGCCGATTGGTCTATAAAATTTAGGTCTCGGCCTATATGTCCAATACGCATGAAGGCTTGAAAAAGTGTCCTTCACAAACAGAAATTGTGTCAAATAACATAAAGGAAACAATCGCCAGCAACTGATAATTTAGTGTCCAAATATCACTGTGATGATTGACATTGTTTTGTCTCAATAATATCTGCTACTTGTGGTCTGATGCTGGACAGGGCACAACGGAGATCACTCTCCAAATCAAGCTACCAGAGCTCTGTTGTTTACAAGTACATAGGCACTAAATTTCAAAAAGAAATTTACGCCATTCTTCCCCTACCCCACCCCCGAAGCTTCCTTGCGCCCTCTATGCTCCCCCTTCCTACCCCTAGAAACTGGACTGTATTGACAGATAAACGGTAACAGACCCAGAGGTGGACTACGTAGAAAATGGACCGCAGCAATATTAGATACCCTGAAAGGTACTTTATACAAAGCGAACAGAAGGGCGTGTTCCAGAGATCTCTTCCTGTCCTGACGCCGTAATACATTCCAGGAGTAGAGAAGAGAAGAAGTATTGATAACGTTTAATACCTAGTGAGTTCTCCTCAGCTTGACGAGGCTGGGAAACGTTTTCTACATCTAACAAAAGAAGAATGGAGTACTCACGAGAACAGATCTTTATCAGCGGGCACTTCTTTTGATATCAGAGGATTTCAAGGGAATTATGACGTCACAGTTTACTACAGTGGACGGCCAATCATTTTGTCAACTTTTACACTTGGCAAAGAAGACTTGCGGGTTACTATCAATGTTCAAGGGGACGGCAGTAAGTAAACATATTATTTTATAACATTCTGTCAGTGATAAATGTCTCTTGTTTTGTTAACTATTCTGTTATTCTCCCCCCCCCCCCCCCCCCCCAGCCTTTTTTTTTTTTTTTTTTTTTTTTTGCCTTCTTTTTCTTAAATAATAATATCTGATGGTCATAGTCCAGGTGATGATAAAATGGGATGACTTAAAAAAAAGGTGAAGCGATAATATAAATGTCTGAAGCTGGATGGTGGATGCTCAAGAGGCCTAAGCCTCCCCCCCCCCCACCCTCTCTTTTCCCCCTTTTTTCCCCCGGTTCTGCCGCCCCTGATTTTTTTTTTTTAATACCATTCAATAAAGGGAATTTAAGAGGAGTGGCCAATATGCGGTGACATAGATTGTGATAACCACTCCCTTCTGGAGCTATTTATATAAATAGAGTCGGCCGTTGTGATAACATACGATACAACATAACAAACGTAAAGCACTTATAACTCTACCTTGATACCTAATTTGAATATAGTGAAACCCCCGTAATTTTATAGATCAATCAGTAGTAGTAGTAGCAGGTTGACTATATCGTCGGGCCAGTATCGTTAATAGATAGGCCCAGACCGTCAGGTCAATATTAAAAAAAAAAAATATCCATTGTCCAAATTGAAGTTGAGTATCATCATCATCATCAGTTCTCGTAATGCCTAGTGGCACATGAGACTTCAGGGAGGATGTCCATGCTTTCCTGTCCTGTGCAATCTTCAGTGCAGTTTTCCATGTCAAAGATGCCGCACTCAGGTCACTTTCCATCGTTCGTCTCCATGTTGTTTTTGGGCGCCCCTGTTTTTTCTTTCCCTCTGGTGTCCATGTGAGAGCTGTTTTGGAAGGTATATCAGAAGTCATTCTCATAACGTGGCCAAGCCATTTCTATCTTCTCTTGGTAATCATACTGTCTAAAGTTTCTTGGTTTGTGGCTTGAAGCAGTTTAGTGTTTGAGATTGTATCTGGCCAGAAAATTTTGATAATTCTACGTAGACATGTGTGGTGGAAGGTGGACAGCTTGTGTGCATCCTTTTTGGTCATTCTCCAGCATTCCGCTCCATAAAGAAGAACTGGCAAAATGATGCTCTTGTAGAGTCGGAGTTTCGTTCCTCTGCAGTAATTGTTGGATTTCCAGATTTGCATCATCCTTCCAAAAGCAGCTCTAGCTTTGTTCAGACATGACTGTATGTCTTCCTCTCCCCCCCCCCCCCCCCCCCCCCCCCCCCCCAGTAGGGACACCACACTGCCAAGATATGTGAAATGTTCTACATTTTCAAGTGATTGTTTACTTATGATCACTGGTTGTTGGTTTGGACTGTTTGTCATGATCTTAGTTTTTATTGTATTTATTCTCAGTCCCACCATTTCTGCTGTGCTGTTTAGTCTGTTACTT